GGAGGAGAGAACGGCTGGACTATCCGCCGGTCGCCTATGAGAGAGGAGAGTACAGGGAGGGTTCCCGGACGCCTGAGGGAGCTCGGAGAGGATTGCTTAGTACTTCTGGTGGTATGGAGAGAATGGCTGAACTATCCGCCGGTCGCCTCTGAGAGAGGAGAGTACAGGGAGGTTACCCGGACGCCTGAGGAAGCTCGGAGAGGATTGCATAGTACTTCTGTTGGCATGGAGAGAACGGCTGGACTATCCGCCGGTCGCCTACCAGGAGAAGTGCGGGTGGACTCTCCGATCATACGCGTATCACTTGAATATTGTGATAGGAGAGTACGGGGGTCGCTCCTGGAATGGAAAGAACGGCTGGACTATCCGACGGTCGCCTACCAGGAGAAGTGCGGGTGGACTCTCCGATCATACGCGTATCGCTTAAATATTGTGGTAGGAGAGTACGAGAGCTATACCTGGGTCGCTCCTGGAAAAAGCAACAGCTCGAACACTACGTTGACTTGTTCAAAATTATTTTGTACCGAACATTTAACATGTATCGACGAAAAGTAAATAAACTTTTGTGTGTTTTTCCCAGATACCAAAGAATATCCTACCATTCCATATATCCTACTACAAATTTCTAAAAAATCATAGATACTGTTTTAGTGTCCTTCATACACTAGTAAACCCAAGATACTCGTTCTAAATTAACGTTCTTTATTTTTCATTATCGACAATTATAGCAGTATAAAAAGTATTCACATTGCACGAAGATTTTTCATATCTAATATACATAAGTACTTCCTCTTCACAAGGATAGTTATGATTAAGAACGATATTTGAATTTTCCTCCGCGTGATTAAACCGGTAAACGAAACGACGCTCGTCTAGTGACGTAAATGTACTATCACGAACAAGATTACCCATTCTGGTATAGTCACTCACCGTTCGTTAACGGTGCCATCAGCATCATACAGTACAACATATATGCGCAACGATACGTAATACACGTATAGGTGTGTATATACACGTGTACATAAAGATTTGCTCGACATCGTGAAACCGTGCTCGACAAAATAATTACCGTCGAACCCATCCGTTTACGACAACGTTTTCCATAATATTGTGCCCGAGCTCGCGAGCACTCTCGTCGACGAAAATATCTTCCCGCTCACAATGTCGTCGTGCACTATCACAGGTATCGAGAACGCGAAAACAAACAAACGATGTTGTGTCTGTTGGGTATCTTAGCTTCGACTTCGTTTCGACACAGATACATAGGGTGGCTCGTAAATTCTGGACTTAATTTCGAGAATTAATTGAAAACGCTAAAACACGTAGGGGGAGTTCCCCTAGCACCGGACGCTTAAGGTTTTTCTTAAGTAAATCTCTCTACCTGTGCACACGCGACTGACACGCGTAGAAAACTTATTTTTATTCCTTTTGGCTCCTCTAGGAGATACGCAGAATAACGGCTCGGTAGCGTTTCAATTATTGCAGATATAACTAATGTCCGATATTAGGTGCCGTCCGGCGTTAAGGGAACTCCCCCTACTTACTCTAAGACCATTCTCTACGGTGTTAATTGTATTTTACGGTACGAAGTAACTTCGTTTAATTTGACCCTAGTGCGGTCTTTGGGTCTTTTTTGACCCATAGAGCTTAAGTGTACCTGGGTTACGTATCGCGTTGTTCTACTGTGCAGGGCGAAGCACGCGACTGAGTTGAGTCGTATCTCTCGTTTGGTTCAAGATGAAAAAAGAAACGCAACAGGGGTAGGGTTAAGCAGCATAACGAGGTTTATCTCCCTACGACCCCAATTTTTTTCGTAAGTGCACCGAAGCGACGGCAAAATGCACTTACGATTCTTTTCTCCCGCGGCAACTGTATTTTCGTGCGAGTCGATTCTTAAAAACAAGCGAATATTTCACGTGAAATTTTGTGAAAAATAAAAGGCATGCTTTATACTGTAAACTACGGTATAATGGTAATAGCTCGCTATTTCAGTTAGACAAAAGTATGATTCATAAGTAACGTCGCTTTCAATGTGAATGCACCTTAAAAGCCAGCTTTGTATACTGTAACACCTGACGCATAACTTGTTCCCAACAGGCATGCTTGGCTACAAAGGGATATAAGTGCTCGAAATATACAAGAGATCGGAACAAAGTGTTCGATCAATTTTGAAAATAAATTATGCCTCAAAAACGAAGAAATTATACTCATATTTTTAATAAATTACCAACGTTTAAATAACCGAACATTTTTGTAAAGCGGTACGCGTATATTTGAATACGCGCGTAATTCGCGCCAAAAATCAATATCGTAAAACCACGTGACCCTGTTATTTACATTCTACTATCCAGTAATAACGCGTGATTTATTTAACAGAAAAGAAAACATAGATACGTAAAAAAGAAATCTTACCTTTCGGGATAGAAGTCCAGCTGTCGGTGTACGATCGTTAGGATCAGATTCGGGGATCGGTTCGTTCGGGTTTTCCATGTGCATTCCCGGCCATCCGACCCAGACTCCATTTCCACTTATTACCACAGGCGCTACAGCAGTTACAAGACCTCCGGCACTGTAACAAAGAAAAAGGTTCGCGAGCGTTATTACGAAAAAGAGGAAAACAAAAACAGGTGACAGCAGAGGAGAAAAATCCTGTGAAAAACAGAGCACGTACAATGGACATGTCGCATACTTATAACGGAATATCGCGAGGTGCTGGACGGAGGAGCCGAGCACAACCGGATCGTTATTCGCGAGTGTTTCCTTCAATCTGTTTACTTCGCGAACTTCTCGCGACGATCGCTGTCGTCGCTTGTTACCGATGATCGTTATCTGCGCTATTTTGAAATTCGAAATAAAACCACGGTTCAGATTTTTTTTCTTCTGCGAATTCATTGGTAGACATTCTTTTTTCTCAGAGTATGATAGGAAAACGAACAATAGTGTAAATATCGCCGAATAAGCGCAAAAGAAATTAGCATCTTTCTTTTTTAATGTATTATTGCTTTCGATAAGGTTCTGTAATTTCATTCTCTGTTTATGCTAATTTCTCGTAATCGGATTGCAGTAGGTATTTCTAGACTACATAAGGAGATTTACTGTATCTGAGGCAAGCAGATACATACACACATACACGCATAAGTTATCAAACATATACTACGTAGTTTCAAGTAAGCTACCTTGGAATAATTTTAGAAAAATAATATTAACTACGTTTATATTATACAGAATGTTTAAAAATGAAAAGACAATAAAATATATTTACATTGGTGAATTTAGAACGTACATTTTGAGACTATCACCTAATTACTTTACTGATCCACAGTTTCGAATCATACTTCTTCAGATACTTCTTGTACCGACAGTAGGTATATACCGAATATGTTATACCGTATGTAACAAAAGTTCCTGAACTCAAATTGCAAAATCATTCAAAGTACAATGCTTTCCTTTTTACTGCCTTAAACTTACAGAAACATTTGTTACACGCCGTATTACCCGGTTTTCTCTATTCCAACACGTAGATCATAGAATCCTAGCAGCTCCCACCTTTAACCGACCACCTATCGTCCGCGCAATAATAAAAAATGATAACGGCGCAGCTTGTGAAAAAGGAAAAGCACCTCATACGCAAATATAAAAGTTCACCGAGTAGCCGACATTGGCGTATCGACCGATAAGACGGGGATAATATTGAGAGACGTCTTCGATCAGCTCTCGTTGCAACGGCTTGCCGGGGCACAGACGAGCCATATTTACATAATGACAAATACATAGCGATCGTGTCAACCGCACGGGCGCATCATCGTATTTTCTTCTTTTATATAATCGGCTGCACGAGCCGAATGCTTTAATCGTTTTATTGAAATTGAATAATGTGCACAGCATTGAAACGTCATCTCTCTTAATCGTCGTTCGATCAGTTTTGCAATAGAAAACATTCTCGTACTCACGTTCACATAACCGCTTTTCTCAAACGTTCTCCACCCTGTACGTATCGATAATCCTCCCGGTACACCTGTCGACACCTTCTAATACCTCGAACGTAACAGTTTGTTCTATCGAAATGAAGATTAGTACAAAAAAAAAAAAAGAACACCGGTTCCCGCGATTTCCGATCGAACGACGAGTTTTCCGGAGCAACCACGATTCGCGACGCGCCCTTCGACCTTGACCCACATAGCCGCGACCCAGCCGAACCGATGTATCCTCGAGTATGCCCGTGAATGAGTTCCGCGCGTTCATTGGCACACGCCATAATTATAAATTTTGCAATGGAACTTGGCTGCCATTCAGCCCTCTCCCGTTCTAAGAGACTTCGCCAGCCAACATCTGGCTGTTCGTTCGCCGCTCAAGACTAGGTCAAACCGCCGAGCAACTCCACTCACTCACGCCCGGTGTATACCTGTTAACGACGGTCCTGATAAAACGTGCGCAACCCCATTCGTGCACGATTTACTCCCGTGAATCTCCAAGTGTCAATTGGAGAAGAAAAGCATTCTATGCTTTTGTGATTAATTTTGTATAAAAAGATTTTGATACATAAGAAGACCTATGATCTTATTTTATTTAGTAAACCGTGGATATGAAAAATTTATTGAAATAATTGGTTTCTTGAAATTTTCAAAAGTTTCAATTTTAGAAAAGTATTCTTAAGAAAAATATTCTTTGCATTCTGTGATTAATTTTGTACAAAAAAATTTTGATACATACGAAGACTGATTTTACTTTAGTAAAGTGTGGACACGAAAGATTGATTTAAATGACTGGTTTTTCTAAAAATTTTGAAAAGTTTCAATTTTCAGTTTGGAGGTATATTTCAATCGATTTATCGCACCTTTCTGTTTTCGAAGGAAAATGTGGTCGACAGGTTAATGGAAGACATTAAATCGCACTGCAGCAAGTTTCCGAACATTCTACCAAACCATTACCTCTCGAATATTTAATTCAAGAAGGTCGCAGAGAAATAAACGATAAGTGGAAATTCTGTTGACCAGAGGCAATATGGTGGTATCGTTGTCACGACGCGGAAGTGATCGATGCGCGCTATTATTACCATCGGATTACTCGGATGAGATCTATTTCGAGAATGCCACGATTTTAGCACGTACGTGAGTACGTAGGCAACACGTTTCAGCTTGGATCTCGTTATTTGTGCTTTTTAAAAATTACCTCCCACGCTTTTGCTATCTCGTCAGGATCATCGCTCGGGATAAGAAGAAGAGAGTACTCGTTCGACACGAATCTTGACGCTTGTTATTTTTAAGCGAAATTACTCGAACTGCATCCGATGGAATTCACATATTGTTGGAAACTGTTGGATTGGGACAGTGGATTGTTAACCCTAGAGCGGTCTTCGTTTTGACTGTACACTTAAGACTTTTGGGTGAAAAAGGACCTAAAACTTTATGTGTAATAATTTTTGTTTCCAGCGCGACATATGAACCTAGACAATAAACGTTTAAAATAATGTTAAGGAACGTAAACTTGATAACAGCAAAAATTACTAAAAATATAAAAAGGCGGTGGGTCAAAAAAGACCCGAAGACCGCTCTAGGGTTAATATACTAATGTCTTTCTTAACCTTTAAATAAACTGTCTTTATTTAACTAGAGATTTACTGGAGAAAACTTTCGAACTGTGCGAGTCACACGACAAGAATGGAAGAAGGAAGTCAGGTCAGAAAAATATCTGCCCCGACTTTTTCTAAACAAAACATCCTTTTTCCTATCCAGAACTGCAGGCTCTGTCTAGGGTCTCCCTACTGTGTTCATTCATTTTTCACCGTAGCACTTCAAACGTGCTCTCGAGGACGAAATATCCAATAGAAACCGTTAAATTTTTCGATCATTTCAACAAATTGATAGAAAACGATCAAACTGTACTCGTTATGTTTATTCACGATCTCTCAATATATTAAAAATATAAAAAAGTCGATTAATCCAACCCGGAAAATATAACGTTAATAGTAAAACATTTTTCAAGGAGACTCGAATAATACGTAGATCAGCATAGCAAAATCGAAAACTAAATTTGTTATTCACAAACAGCTAGTAACAATTCTATTTTGTCGACTTCTCAAACATTCGCTATAAAAATCGAGCAAAAATGGATTTACGACTTCCTCGTCACTCCTATCACTGACTGAACGCAGTCAAGGATACGCAACAACATGCAAATTACTTTGATCTCCCGCGTCGTAAATTACATTTTCTAACAAAGTCGCTAGTTAAGAGACGGGGGATTTCTTATAGGAGGAAAAGTGTCAAATAAACTTGAACAAATAATGGAAGTTTGTTAAGGACAAACAATCTCTCCTATTCATTTCAACGAACGTGCGCGCGCGTACATACGATTTCGAATGGCAATCAATGCCACCACACGATGTGACGAAGATTCGTGTTTTTCCACCGACTTTTATTATGCCTACGCTCTCACCAAGGAAGTAACGGCGGCGACAATCGTGATAATATATTACACGGCGCACGCGGTCGAACACGCGGAAAGCACGTGGCTACGCGGAGAATACCTTGTGAATGAGCGCGCGAGCGAGCAAGCAAGACCGTTCGCACTTTGGGCTATTACTTTTAACCGGGTATCTGAGATACTAGATGAAAATAACCCGATCGACCCGGGTATCTCACGAGTACTCGAATATGTACATAAAACAGTCGAAATCTCGGTGGCCGCTACCGCTGGTGGTTCCCCGGGCAAACAAATGCGGATCGGTCGCGATAGCGATGCAACGATGCCGACGTGTCAAAGTGCACCTGTACCCTACACAATATTGTTTTGAAACCTCTGCCGAAACAGTCGAGGAATAATAGATATCTACTCTCAGCTGTCTCATCTCATGAGGTACCCGGATAATTTCTGATTACCCGAGTATCTCACGAGTAACCCAGGTACCCGGGTATCTCTTAAGTAACAGCTCTAGTTCACACTATACTTTTTGATCGATGCCACTCAAAATCCCTCCGCCTTATCGTTATCTGAAAATGTTTCTAGCCGTCGAGTACCGGTTGTTACCAATCTCATCGAGGCGTAAGTGCAATTAACAAGTGTCAAAAGACGCCGGGAGATTTCGAGGATCAAGCGTTGCGTGTCGTTATCAGACGAACGTATCGTTGTGAAGAAAGAATAAAGTAGAAAAATAACGAACACCTGCAGATAAGAATATTTAACAAACAGAACGTGATCGCTTTTCGTGAAACGCAATGTACGATTCGGAAAAGTTCCGTGGAATTTTTGCTTTTCGCCCGGCAACGATTAGGCTATCACATACGTGTAACACGTTTTCTTACCTCTTTTCAGAGTCTGATTTTGGCGTATCTAGTTCGAGTAGGTTTACGTTCACGTTGATTTCGTTCAGTTTAACCCTTTGCATTTGTATCGGGTTACATTCGTAGTGGAGATTATTTGCGAAAGTATGATCAAGATGAGTTACATTTGTTATAAACTTGAATTTTGATTTCAGCTAATTTTGATAGTATTGTGTTACAGTACAAAGTCCTTTGTCTTAAACAATTTTTTTAGAGAATTGTCGGTGATAAATTTAAACCTCTAGTAAGTACAGAGAAATAAAATTTGAGAGATACACACTACTGTTCAAAAATTTGGGACCATCTACCAATTTACGTCAATAGATTTGAAATTGACGTTGTGGAGGTCAATAGCAATTTACCTCGTCCCAATTGATTTGAGTAATAAAAAATTCTTAAGGTTGCAAACTTTTTCTGAAAATTTTTGTATAACATTCAACGCAGTGATCCAAAACTTTTGGCCAGTAGTGGCCGTTTGCTACCCCTTATTACAAAGAAGAATACTCGTTTCAAAAACTCTGCCAGAATACATGAATGAACTACGAAAAAAGTTGAATGAACGAACACCCATGAGAGTGGTACAACTTTGAAAAAGTCGTTTTCAAATGTGTATCACAATACTGAATGAACTAGAAAACTCCCTGAACTTAATCTCCCTCGTTCCTTTCATTTCGAAATTATCTTTAGTGTCTCTTTACAGAACACGTTTTTTACTCTTGTATCTTTACAATCTTGCGATTGATTAAACAGGGGAATCAAAGGCGTCACCGAAATATTCCTATTTTTGCACTAGAGAGCGTGTTTTACGAACACGATTAGATTAACTCCGGTTTGAAAATTACAGGCTGGGTGGAGCGAGACCGCTTTTATCTTCGGCGGGGTTTGATTAAATGTTTCAATTACTGGTCACGAACGTGGTGCTATTTTTTGCCCGTGCGGTTAGATTATTTATTTACAAGCGGTATCAACGAACGATACCGTGATTCACGCAAATAAGCAGATAAGATCCACAGCTTACTATGTCACCACAGACCAGATAGTAGCTGTCTTCGCCGGTCGACACGCGCTACGTAAGCACAACAAACAACCAATCTTCGTTAGAAATAGGTTCTAGCCTAGATGTCTCAAATCGTAAATCACAATAGGTTTTACACTGTCACGAATGAATTTTTATTTACAGACGATAAATAGTTGGAAATTTTACTGTATCAGAGATTAAGCTTGTCAAAGATACATATATACGTGATTTCTTGATTTCATTCGATGTCTTTTTTGAGAATCGTATGTAACAATACTTTTCGGTATCGTTCTCGCAACTTCCTGGATTTGTCGTTGAGAATAAGTTGGTAAATATAACTCGATCGTATTGAGAAGTTCGTCTAATCTCCATCGAACGATTTGATACCGAGTGAATGAAAATATCTCTTGTTGATACGTACCCAAGGATGACATTTATAGCGACAACTTCTCAGAAACGATATCTTTGTTCTGTATCCGAGCAGAAATTGACAAAAAGTAGCGTAAGTACGTATGATAGATTAATTTTAAGCAACGTATAGAAATAATATCTGTGAGTAATTCTTGAGAGAAGTGACGTACGAATCGCGCGAATTCACTTTCTTGGCACGATTTTCATTCTCTGTCGTCACGAAGTATGTGTACAAGTGACGCGAAAATTCGTGAAAATCGAATGACTCAGCGGATCGAAAGAATGAATCGACGAGAAGAGGGACAAATGAAAGAAATTTTTGTTCCAAGGAACGCGTGTTCTTAGGGAAAATTTCGTCACTCCCCCCACGATCTATATAGGATCGCAAAAACCTTCTTCTTCTTCTTCTTCTACTTCTTCGACGTAGAACACCACGCGCGATGTGTAATCGAGTACTATTTTTTCACGGACCATAAATAAACCCTGTGAACGCAACATTGACGTGCATTGGCTACTAAGTCACAATTGACGATCATTTTATTTAAGCGATGTCCACGTGCGGTTAAAGGGAAAAAGAGTGTATTGCATAATAGGCGATTAGGGACCGTGGCGGTGGATCGTTTCTATTATAGCTAGTGCAATGAATATCGATATGTCTAAATACGGCGGTGTGTACACCGTGATAGTGTAACATGGATCATGTGAGCTTTTCGAAACGTTGAAAATTAGTCTCCCCGTTTGGAGTCTCTCCTCAAATGTAAATTTTCGAGAAAAAAAATGTATCACAGAAAATATGACAAACTAGAAAAAATAAACTCTATGTTTGTTACAATGACATAATAAAAAATGTAGTATTATATAAATGTTATTTAGATTATTTTTATGGTTCAAATTTAAGTAGAAACTTTTTGTAAGACACGTTTAAGAGAAGATTCACGGTTTAAATGAAATACTCCGATTGCTTTTAACAACATCTAAACAAGGCGATTTATCGAGGAATTCTATCGATTACGTTCAATTACCGCTCTAACAATTCAACTGCGAAAATGTCCGAGGAAAATCTCTGCTACTCGAATGGTAGTGAAGGATTAGAAAATCTACTACACCGTTGCAAAATATTAAACAAGCAATTCTCTAATGGATTCGTCGCGAAAAAGAAGAGAAGAAAGAAACGATAGAATCGTACTTTCTCAGAGGTGTTTCGATATAAACACGAGAAGAATTATTTTCAATGGTATTATTTTCCCATATTAAAAATAAAAAGGAGTAAATGAATAGGAAGTTTGGCGAATGGGGGAACCAGCGACCCCGTACGTTTCCCCTTGCCTTGCATCAATACGTCCTCCGCCGATATTTCTATCGACTTGTTTACGCAACGGAATAAATTACAACGCGCGATCGAATATTCATTCGGTGGAGCACCGTCGACTTCGTTGATCCTGCAAATCTCTCAATGCTACAATTGATTATCGAGAATCTTGCATGCGGATTTCAATGCACGAATACAATCAATCCGTTTATTTACAATTTTTTTCTTCAAAGTTCAACATTATTCTCGAAATTACAAATTAAAATGAAAATTCAAATGCATCGGCAATGGTAATTCTTAACGCGTGAAATTAGATATTCAAATAGTTACCACGTGTACCACGTTTCTACGTGTTAAAATTAAAGGCTGTAATTAATAATTAAAATTCTACCGGTGTTTGTCACCCACTTGGACAATCATCTCCGCTGAACGTTACTGCAAGACAAGAGAGATTGTACGCGCGAAGTGAAACAAGGAAAATTGCCGCCAAGACGTTAAAAGAAAAGAAAAAAATCCAGCCGTTCGAGGATAAGCATAATAACGATGAGGTAATATCACGCTCCGTCCGCGTTCGGGTCGCGTTGCAACGACCGCGAACCGCGTGCACCCACGCGTGCACCGATCGTGCAGCCGCGAAACGCGTTCACGCGTGTACTAACCACGAGGTGATCGAACAGAGACAGAACAAACGACAGGTTGGAAAGTAACGAAGCTTACAGGCGAAGAAAATAGAAAAGAAACGTCGAAGAGAATCTCGAAGTAAAGAATCAACGAAGAGAAAGAGAGAAAAAAAAAAGAGCTCTACTCTGACATACTAACCTGGCCTTTCGTTCCAGCTGACCGGTCAACTCGTTCCTCTTCAGCACGAATGGCAACCTGTTGCTCACAACAATCATGCTCCCGGTGGAGGTGAAGCTACCCGGTTCTGTAGACATTTCCATGTTTTCTCTGACTCAACTGTGTCTAGATGTGTGTCCCGTCGAAAAATAGAAAAGCACCACGAAACGGATAATAACAGCGCGTCGCGCGACTCTTCACACACGACCGTTTCTCTCTCCTCTTTTCTCTTCGACTCCTGGTCGTTATACGCGCAGACCACCGATTCTCTCAACGCCGCGCTGCTCTACTATACCAAGTGTATATATCACGTGCAATCACGTGTGCATGCGAAACCGAAGTCGAAGGAGAACCGCGCCGGTTAGTCGCTCGCTCTCGAGGACTAGAGTAGCCTCTCTACTCGTTACTGAGCACCGCGCGAGAAGACACCTCGTGTCGTTTCTCTGTGCATGTATATATATATATATATAGATATATGTGTGTGTGTGTATCGACGTTCCCTTTTCACAGCTGGGTTTAGCAAGCCTCGAGTGTCTCCGCGTACTCGCGAGCAAAAGGCAACAGTCTCGTTTTGTCTCGTCCGGTCTCGTTTCGTCTCGTTAGTTCTCGTCACCGGACTGCCTCCCTGTACTTTGTTTTTGTCTTGCTTTTTTTTTTTGTTAAGTATTTGCTAATCGTTCGAGCTAACGTTCTTTCCCGTGAAACGTTTTACGAGACGTTACAACTTGACCCGTTCCTCTAATCTGGTCCAGGAGGACAGTTTTGGATACGACAACGGAAATAATACGCAGAGCGTGGATAAGAAGAAAAATATGGAGGGAGAAGGACAAGGAGCGAATGAATTTGCAGAAGGTAAAAGGGAAAGAAATTAACGGGCGGGAGCAGCAAGAGAAAGAGAGAAAAAAGAGAGGTTCCCCTGGCGGATGGGAAGAAAAAGAAGAGAGTAGCTGATTCGTCGGTGTTGAGTGTGCCGCGGTGCGTGGCCGAAGTAGCACTGAAGTAATAACGCTGCGTTCCCCTGAGTTTATTCGAGTTAGTCGTTGCGAAGAATTGGTCCAAAGTGCGCTCTCTCTGCCACCGTATCAATGACGGGGCCGCGACCTTTTGCCCAGCCCAGCAGTTACCCCTCGTCGTGCACACTACTAACCACCGCCATCATCGTCGCCACACTACCCACCACTACTGGACACAGAACCGCCACCCTACCGTCATCATACGTAAACATACACCGCATCCTCCCCCTCATCCTCCTCCATCATCTTCTTTTTCTCCTTTCGTATTTCCCTCTCTTTTCTCGAACTCCCCTTGTTTCCCTCTCTTTTTCTAAGGACGCAGCGTGGTGTCGTCGCGTGTCGTGACAGACGATCAGGGTTATCTTCCGTTATCTCTTAATTCCCGGATAACACGCTAATGGGGCAGCATGTACGATGTACGCGTCGCGACCAGCTGTACACGTTGTACCGGCGTTCAACTGTCAACATGTACGCGACAGATAACCGATTCGTGTGACGCGCGATCGGTACATCACTGTATTATTGACACTCTCTCGTCCTCGTTGTTCACGGAATCATCCGGCGCGGCGCGCGGAACGCAAACAGTCGTATGTACCGGACAGAGTTAACCGATTCCGAGTCGAAACTAGAGACGACGAGCAGTCTGGTCACACAAACAAAGATCTCTATCCTTCGTTTTTGTTTCCACCATAACGGAAAAAGTGGATATCTCGCGTCAATGAAAAATGAAACACCAATGTACCACGCTTGAGAGAGTAGAAACGGTATTTTGGTGACACGATTGTTACATGCATATACTAACACCCGAAAGATTTGTCTGATATACAGGGTATCCCTACTAAGCCGTTGTATTTAACAATGCTTTGCTACTGAACCTTCAAGGGTAAAAGGGAGAAAATAGAGCAATTTTTATCCTTTTTTCTTTTTAATAGAATTAGTAAATGTTGATACTTTCGAGTAGCTCTTTTCGATTCTAGTAATATTTCGAATAAAACATTTTTTTACATCTTTAAAAATTTTACCGTCACTTTCGATCATCCAGGAAATAGTAACTGTAATGACACCTTGTATATTATGGGCGAATAATAATATAGGGAATTTCTTTTGTTTCCTTTTCCCTCGTTCGAATTCCTAATAATCGTTCACATACTTTGTTGTTTGTTTTTGATTGATCAAAGTCGAATAGGGTAATGATTAATAGACAATTACGTAACCAACCGCGAGCGCACACGCAAAAAAGCGTAGAATCTATGGCGAAAAGAATTAAGGATCTTTGACATTCTAACCTTGAAAAAAAAAAAGAAAAAAAATATATATATGTATATTATATACACACCGCGGGTATCTTTCGAACAGATAACGAACACCGATCGAATTGTTTCACCGTGACGTACCGTCCTTGTAAATATTTGAAGTCAACTTTGTCGAATTTGCATGTACTTCTCGTTTCCTTGAGATAAACGAGACGGTAAGGACCCGTGTATACACACATTTGATGCATGTTTTGTATAGTATTGTCTGATGTTTGAAGAACCAATGAAAACACGAGTGTATTTGATACATTTCTACCGAAAAATATTAAAAATTAAAATTCAAAAAAAGAAAAATTAAAATCGATTAATAAGTATATAAAATATCCACGTTTTTTTTCATAGAGGCAGCAGCCAGTTTGTTTTGAAGTTAAAATCGAAGAAGAAGAATCCGTCGGCGATCTGGATAAAACCCAATAGAACCAGATATTAATCTGGTTTTTGCTTTGAAACTTGCTTTCTCTAGATGCTTCTTTTAGATATTAAAATCACTTTAATATAGCTATTTTTAAACACGGGTATCATAATTCAATGTTTCCGTTAAGGCCACGTTGATGTTATCATTGAGATTACTACTTAGAAGTTTAGTATAACTGTGTAATAAACAGCACAAAAACAATTGTTCTACATAGTGTGCATAAGAAGTCAATTAACCGTCACTGTAACTGGAATTGAGTACATTTCCATATTGTGCAACTACCGTTAAGACAATGAAACAATTATTATTATTTTATGCGGCATGGTAATTGTAATCAAGATGTACATTCTAAAGCAGTATTTTTTTAAGCCAGGTTTTAATAAACTTAGACTAAAAGTTTATTCAAATAAATAATTTTAACTATAACTGATTTTGCATTATCAGCTTTACATCATTTTGTGTTATAGAGTGTCGATAGATTATAATCGTGTAACATAATTACTAAATACACTATAAATTACTTCATGTTACTTAGTACTTAAAATTAGTAAAAGAACGATTGTTGGCTTGTTTTTATTTTGTTTAAGATTGCTTGAAGGTCGTTTTGTATTTTTATATTATTACGTGAATATTATACGTGTATATTTTCTAGCAGGATAAAAGTTTCAGAAAACATGTAAAGAATATCAAGTTAAGTACCAATCTATACTACGCATACAAATTATATTCTATGCTCAAACGTAATTTTCTAAGCACAATTATTTTTAACGCCACTGTTGCAAAATTACAGTGTTTTATTTCAGAATAAAAAGCGACCTTAAAATAGCCTTGAACAAACTGTTTCTTACTGTTTCGTTATCAGTGTTTTATACTTCCTACTATTTAGTAACTAATTCACACGTATGGATACAATGTGCAACATAACCCTATTAACGCGAGCAATCATGCAAAGGTAACAGATAATTATACCACTTATTATAGCCGCTATAATGATTTTATCAATCACATAGTAACACATAGTTACAAAAATTTGAATCGACCAATTTTTATTTTCAATAAAAATCAAAAAATACCAAATCTGATATGTACAGTCGACCGATTCTTCTCCACAAATTTGATTGCAAGACATAACTGAAGCTGTTATAAGATGCTATTTACGCATTTTGCAAAGCAAAAGTAGAACGTAAAAGGAACGAGTAGTATCGATTGGAGGAACGTGCTTGGAAACTTTAAACCGTAGGTATCTCTCCTCCATTCTACAAAAGATACACGTGACCGTGTAACTGCAATTGTAACGCTGTTCCCCATCTACATACGTATGTAGTTTCTATTCTCTGGCACGAAAATTTCCAGTATGGAAAATACTCGCACCGACATTTGTATATGAAAAAAATCTGTAGAAATAATCGCATGAAACACACACGAAGTGAGTAATAATGTAAATTCATCGTCCGCGGAGAAAAATATTTACTTTTCACGATTTAAGTTCGTATTATCTCACGGCACCGTGATAAACTGCGTTCAGCCGAGCTTCTCGAAAAGTCGCTTACTTATCGACCACGCGATCGTCGTCGTCATTATTTGTCCTTATGAATAATCCGTCAACGTCAAAACGAACTTGCTACGGATGTTCAGAATTGATTAAGTTCTAAATTAAAATTATCGACTGTGACTCGCTTGGCTAACCGCGATATTAAAGAAAAAAAAAAGAAACAGATCAAAGATTCGTGGATATTTCCTTTTTCTATTTTGCTCAGTGTCCGTATTTTAACGACGATGTAATTACCGCGATGATCGTACTGAATGCCGTTCAAATCGCCTAATTAAGAAGTATTTTTTGCTCGTAAAATGTAAATCAAAACAATCTGGTTGACTGTGCAACGAATCTCTTCTTCTGAAATATTATCTTGACGTTCCCCACTGGGTGGGAAGAGGAAAGAAAAAACGTTATCATCACGTTATCGTCACGTGTTGCGGTGTTAGCTAATAACAGAATAGAGGATAACGATGAAAATTGGCACGCGTCGCGCACGCTGCCGCGAGCCTTCCTCCATGAGAAATAAAGAAAAAATTCGTCCACTAGAACCGAACGTATCGTTGCGAGACGAGTGTCAAGTTGCGAACAATACATACTGGTTGTATTGTATGCACGCGAATTCGACCGTGAGGAACTGGTAAAAATCAACGATGCGTCGCCAGAAATGAGACGCTACATCAGCGTCTAAAATTACTCTACTTAAGAGTATATCGAGATAAATCTATATTTTTCGCACACTTTCGCGCATCGAGACACATGTTATGCAACGTATGTTTAGCTCTTCCTGTATTGCAATTAAATGACGCACAACGTGTCACTAACGGTGATTATAACTTTTTATCAATTTATCTGGAGAATTACATCGAGATTGAAAACATAGACATTACAGTACTTGTACACTACCCAGGATAATAGGATTATTTTTATTCTCGTATTATGGTTTGTAATGGACTAATGCGTGTTTGAATATGTAAGAAATGCGAGATTTCGGCGGCGAAGTGGTGGCCTAGACTTTGTCACCCAGGAAGAGAAAGCGCGCGGGTACCTGAGGGTACCATAAACTAAGCCCCTTTCCCCAGAAAGTCGAACGAGGGGGCTTCAACGGTTTTTCGGAGCAACACAGGATAGAACGCGGAGAGGACACTCTTAATATAGCCGTCAAGCGAGACGGACACCCGAGTACTTTAACAGCCGCTTACATTTATAAAATAATACGTTTCGGTTAATAGCCTATCGTGTGTTACGTTTACTTAAGTTGTGCTAACAAATAGATTTTTCTTATTATTCAAAATAAATACTTTCACTCAATATGGGATAATGGGATAATAGATAATGTAACTTTGAAAGCGACAGAAAAGACGATATTAGACATGTCAGTTTTGCATAAGCACGTGGACAGGACATGAGATAAACGACGTTAGCGCATTATATGTATGTACTTTTACGTTTGACTTGAGATAGAATTATTCACACACATATCTATGTAAAATTATAAAACAAGAAGGAAGATCGACATAAATGTTGCATGAATATTCATATTCATATGAGACAGAAAATGCAAATGTTACACACGTTTAATTATTTAGTAAAATTGTTTCTTTTGCCGAAAAAATCACTCGAATTTAATTCGGTACAATTCGTGGCTTCTGACAGTTTCGGCTTTCATCGTAACACTTCGTGTGAATTCTGCAGGCTTCGGCGCAATACGACCAGTATGGCATGTGCGTAAAAAATAAGCGCGAAATCCGTACATTTTTACGTGATGCAGAACACAAAAGTGAAATATTAACGCGTATTAAGAAAGTTTAATTTCCATAAATCAATACTTTTATCAAATAAGTAAGGCACTACAAAATTCTTAATATTCTTAACTGCAACGTTTAATATTGTTTATTAAATGAATTAAATGAAATATTGTTTATTAATTCAATATGTTTAAAAAATACAATGAAACATGAATGTCACTCGTTAGTGTTTATTTTATTCAGTTTCACTAATACAAAGCGATTTTTTTGAACAATGGAGAATAATATAAATTTATATATGGAGAAAAAAATGACAAGTGACAAAAATATAAATCAGTCATTAGAAAATTTTGCCTTAAGTGTTGGAAAATTAGGAAAATGTAAGGCGATATTTTGAACAAGACAATTTTGTCAATAATGGTTGCCGAACGAAGGAGATACTTTTCTGGACTATGAAATACATTCACAGGTGTAATTATTTTTCAAACGTTACGTTTCTCGTATGTAATGTATAGAAAAAATTCGTGTCTACGTGCATGCATAACATCCTTGTAACTTCAACTGCATATATTTGCAATCCTTTTGTTTATATGTTAACCTTGTGTGAATACAATTCTTGAAGAGATTTTTCAAGAAATACTCGCGTACTCCGCGATAAACGACAAAAAATTATAGCAATAGGGACTGCTTAATGATATTTATTGTCATCTTCGACAATGCGCATAAAAATGACAGTTGACGCTTCGAACGAGAATACTTTCCGAATCTTTGTTTAACAACAAAAGGGTGTCGTTGAATTACTGTCACATAAGAATCGTTTAACCAACAAATAGTTGACGACCCATATATGTTGAATGTTTCAACGCAGCGTGAGGCAATTACACTGATTGTTGTGCGCACAACGAACACAGAAAACAATGGAGTGTATAGAGTATAGAATGATAGAGAAATAGACAGAGATAAGAAACGCAAAGTATCGGGTCATTTTAAAAATCTTTGTGCCCTTTTGCATGAACTTTATTGCAAAAAAAACGGACAAAGAAATAAGTTTAAGATGGCAAGAAGTCATTGAAAAAGGAGGAAATTACATTCATGATTAAACTTATTTCTTTATACGTTTTTTTACGTAATCAAGTTCATACAAAAATACGCAAAGACTTGAAATAACCTGATATAACTAATTGAAATTGTTTCGCGACTTCGTAAACTTTGACATGAACACCCACCCCAAAAGACGAGTTTCCTTGTTTTTACTTTGAGTGAAAGCTGGTATTAAACACACCGACGCGATAATTATTCTCCGAGATAAGCTGCGTAGAGTTTGATACTAAATACTCGCACACTCACATGTACACCGGGATCCTCCGCTACTGGCTAGTGTTTTTGCGAAAGACGTTCTTTCCACAAGGTACCACTGGTAACTGGTTCCATTTTCCCAAAGTTTCGGGTTGCTGGTATTATTGGCCGAATCGATTGTGTGGCCTATAATGCTATACGGCAACTAAATAAGTATGTGTGGAAAAGTCCCTAGGAGATATTGCAAATTTTTGTACCTATACTTGAATTCCATCGCATAATCAATATCTGTAAACATTAGATCCCGATATTTCATATGTAAATATAATGAATATTGAATAATAAAGTTAATACGAATTGCATACATTTTTTAAAATATCAAACCTTCTGAATTTATTCCTGAAAGTGTTTATCGTTTATATTTATATGCATTTACTTGTTTATACTGCAAAATTTTCAATGAAAACCGAAAAACCAACGACAAACATCTACTTCTATCAATGATGACATTTGACAAGAAGAAATAACAATTTGTCATAAGTTAAATTTAAATTGGCTATGCTGTAAATATAAAGCAAATATTATTTTATAAGTCTGTATGACCTACGCTCTATTTTTAAAAACTAAGATTTACATGTTAATTTTTATTACATGCAATTACTTTTATATTTGACAGACAACATAATAATACACTTAAATGTCATTTTATAGATAAAGCAAAGTCGTATTTTCATGATTTTACAGAAATAGTGAATTTAAACTTCATAGAAATGTCTGGAGGTAAACATAAATTCTACCAATGACATTTCGGTTTACGCACTTCAATGGCACATGGATAACCTTTTTGTCAGTTAAGCCACTTTGAACAAGAACGCAATAATTTCACTTACGTTAAATTGATAGCATTTATTTTTTCGGAAAATAAAGTTGAATGACATCTATATCAATTTTTTGCAAAAAATAATAGCAACTCTAACATAAGTTTATTCGTAACGTTATTTCTACGCTTACTGTTTACGAAATTTTGACGTAAGATGAATGTTATATGCTCTATATGTTCTATATGCAACGATCAGTTAATGCAATCAGATGATATTTTTTATACACGATGTGGACACGTATTTCATTTGCATTGTTTAACACCATGGCTCGAAAGGTAAAAATATATTTAAAAACAATAATAGAAAGTATCTTATTAGGAAGTATGAGAGTTCAACTTATAATGTGTGTAAACTAATTTAATTCACCTGTTTTCATGATAAAAAACAATTATGACTTTCTTTTCAGATCAAAAAGCTGCCCACAATGCAGAGAGAAAGTTACACAAAGCAGAATACACAGACTTTATTTCACATTTTCAAATAATGAAATTATTGAATCTCAAGGTTCCTCATTACAAGAAAAAGTAGACAGCTTGAAGTTCAAAATTTTGTTAAAAGAAAAAGACATTCAACATTACTCTTCAAAATGTGTTACTTTAGAAAAACAAAATGTTGGTCTAAAACAAGAAGTACGAAAAGTAGAAGGTGAACTTAATCAAAAAATTGCAGCTATATATGCTCTAAAAGAACAAATAACTTACTTCCAAGAACAGAGTTCACACTGTAATAATTTGAAAAAAGAAATTGCTCAATTAAAAAGTAAAATTGAAGATCTCAGACCGTATGTAATTGTTGTACATACAATATTATGTTTCATATTACATTTATATAAATCAGTTGTCTATTTTAGAATACAAGTATTATTGCATGCTCCTATTAGTGATGTTAGTAAAATGGTTGGAAAAAATAAAGATCCTGAAACACTTATGACATACATTTCTGTTATGAAAAAGTAAGTAACATGTACATATTTCAAAAGATTATGAACTAAATTATGTTACTATTTACATAATTATATTTGTAGAGAATTAATTGAAAGTTTTAGTAAATGTAAACAATTACGTATAACTATCAAAAAGCTTCAAGAAGAGCTTAGTAAAGGCAATACAAAATTGGATACCTTGTTGTCAAAACAAATGTAAGATATTGAAAAGACCATTAAGTATTTCTGTATTAAAAATTTTTGAAATTAAAATTTAAGTGAATATTATGTATTACTATTTTAGGAACTTAGAAGAAAAAGTAGTATTTTCTGAAAGCAAAAACATGGCATTACAAAAACGTGTTGATGAATTAGAAGAAATACTTGGTATTAATGAAAAATCTAATAGTATATCTGAGGTTCAAAAAACAGAAAGTAAAAATAATGTTTCTAATGAAAGTGCAGTTGACAAAACGTTAAAAAAAGATGATCAAGACATGTCAAGTAAAAGTCCTATATTAAGTCAAGCTACTAAAAGAAAAATTGAGAAGGTTTGAAGTTGGATTTTAAATTAATGATAAAAATTGAAGAATAAAAATTAATTATATTTATTTTATATTTCATTAAAGTTTTCCAACAGTTTCTAAGAGACATGATCAATCAGAAGATGATATAACCATTTCAAATATTTATGATAATAAATTATCAAATTATACTATACCAAAGAAAAAAAGAAAAAACAATACAAAAAAGAAAGCATCTGATACTAAAAATAAACATGATAGTCGTGTGATTGACCTAACTTAGAGTTCCTATCAGTATTACATTTTTTTTTTGTAAGGATAATTATTTATATTCCAAAAATATATACAGTATTTTATCATTATAATAAATCGTCGTTTGTTTTTTCAACAAATAAAATATTCTACTTATATATTCAGTAGCAACTTATATCTTTCCTAAAATGGGAAAGGCAGACCCAATGAATTTTTTACCATTATTTTGTGATACATATGTCTGAATATCAAATTTAAATCCTGTAAAAGACATTTTACATCTTTTATTGGGCCGTGTAAAAAAACAAAGTGTATAGATTGCTATTTCTAATTCTGGTGATGTCCCAATAAACATAGTTGACCTTTTACGTTTTCCAAAGTAAGTGAAATATGTATCTAAAATGACAGCTTTCTAAAAATATTTTAAAATTGTTTATTAACTATTATTATTTTATATTCACATTTTTACTTACATTAACGAATTCTTTATTACGGGAAAATCCATAATAATTAATTTTATTTGACAACTCTCCAAAGAAAAAAGAAATCCAGTTGTGAAGCCCTATAATACCTTTACGTGGCTTTCTTTCTCCTATAAATACATGTTCAAACCCTGAAGTACCATTTATTCCTTTAGTCCGAGAATATAAATGAAACCAAATTTCCTTCAAAATGTTTTTATAAGCTTGTATATCATTTTTAACGAAGCCTTTGAGTGATAAAAAATGCATAACATGTAACATTACATCTGTTTCCATTAAATTATCAATAAATTCATTTTCTTCTGTATCTTTTTGTTTTGTTACAATCTCTGGTTGAGATGTATTCAATTCATAGTTATCAAATAACTTTATTAAAGATTTTGTTGTTAATGTTAAAAAAGCATTAGATGATGTATTTAATAACCTAAAGTTATAAATTCGAATTAAACTTCAAAATATATAAAAAAAATATTTTCAAAATACCTTTCAAGAGCATTATCAGTAAAATTGTTAAAACTTGTTTGCCCCTGATAATTTATCTGTACATAATTAAGTAGTTCATGAGATGATTTATTAAACAAATGTTCTGATATCATCGCTAGTTCTATATTACTTGTCGAGGTCACATTTGGAAGATTATTCGACTCTATAAAATTAGGAAATACACATATAATTTTGTATACATATGTATATATAAACAATTTTAATTTTTCGTTACAATTACCCCCTATTTGATGAGTTGTAAAGAGGCATAGGACTACTATATTTAAAATAATTAGGACACCAAAAGAAAATAGGAAAATTTTATTCAACATTTTTCTAAGATAAAATACGTTAACCTTGAGTAAATAATGGACGGTATAGGTTATGTGTAATGTTTTCTACTTATCAGAAACTGTCATTTTCAGTGCATCGGTATAATTATAAGCGTAATATCAAATTATTGAGAATTAAAAAATATGTTTTTATAAGAGATGAGATTTAATTTAAAATTTATGAAGTCATTTTTGTCAAAAAAATTCTACATAGCATCGATTTTTTAAAATATGACTCATAATTCAAAAATAAAGAAATAATTTTGCAATTAAAATATAAGTCTAAAATTTGTTTAAGATTCTCCATCTTGTTAATTCTTAAGTAATAAATATTTAGAAAGTATAGTCAATAATTATCATTTGCGTTACAATATCCAGGATACCGATTACACATTTTGTTTACAAATGGTCGTCGTTTGCATGCGATACTGCATTCCTTATTGTAAAAATGTCAAATCGCGTAGAATATATAATTTCACCGTTTGAAAGTGAATCATACATAGAAAATTTACAAATTTCCGAGCTTGATTTCATAAAAAATTAGTATTATTAAATCAACAAAGCGTTTTAGAAATTAGCGCTTTGCGAGAAGAAAGTATTAAAGAATGGTTTGTTTCCTTTAAAAAGGTAATTGAAATGTGTGTTATATTAAATTGTTTTTTCTTCTAATATTATTTTTTCCTCATAGATTCCAATTCTTATATATGAAGCCATACAAATTGATGTATGGAAACATAAAGTATTTCCACTGTTAATAGAAATGAACGCAGAACCGAAAAATACATTCATGCTTTTCATTATATTTTATCATGAGGACATTGCTATTTCATTATTAGAAAATGTATTATTTCATTCTGAAAGTGCAGAAACTATGAACGATTCCGTTCTCGATCTTGTTGATTACGCTGTTAAATATGCTTCTTTCCTTTTTGATGCACCAGACATTGAAATTTATGAAAATGTAACAAATCCAAAGTAAGTCTTTAATAATAACACATTTATAATTAACAATGTTTTACATACTAAATAGTAATAGCTACGATTACTGTAATTAGTTCATGTCTTGAAGAAATATTTGAAAAAAAGAAAGAAATTGAATTTGATATCAGCATGAGATGTATTTCGATTCTCCGTTATTTGGCCGAATTTGCGGACAATTTACCGCTGTCTGTATTGTCGCGGTTGTTATCTACGCATGACGTACCCTACTTGCTTGTTCAACTCATTGAAAAACAACCATGGAAGAAAGAAAATACAGAAGGTAGTTGTTTTTATATAAATGTAAGAAAATCAATACAATTGCAATACAATTGTTTCTCCTTAAGGGGAAAATATGATATACAATGGTAGTTGGAAGAAAGTAAAGCCAAGTGAAGAAGGAAAAATTTGTAAAATAGAAGGACAAGTTTGGTTTGGTTTACGAGAATTACTTCTCAATTCAAAAAGTGCACCATACTATGAAGTTACTGAACATAGACTTTCTCAATTAATAAAGGTACTTCAACATTGTAAAGTGCATTGTACAACACACAAAAAATTATTATTTATATTAGTTGCAGAAATATTTGCACGAAGATATGCTGGATCAAATTTCTCCTCTGATAGATTTAAAAAGGTGGTTAAGTTATTTAAGTGTGTCAGCATCTCAAACTAGAGCACCTCGAGCAGTAAATGTGGAACTTATACCACAGGTTAAAATTTACACATCAAGATCAACTACAATTATACAGAATATATTTTTTTAAATTATTGAAATATCAAATAATAATTCTAATCAATCTTGTTTTCAGATAAAATCATCAATAATGGAAAGGTACCACAAAAAGTGGAAAAAATTAGCAAAACATCAGTCAAAGTTTATATACACAACAGATGTAGAATATATTAAAAATGCAGCTCAAATTTTAAGTGATGCATATGATCTGGATAAATTAGATTGTATTGATGTTAAAGAATGCTTTTTATGTCATGAAGATGCAAAAAACCGTTGTTCTAAATGCAAAGAAGCTTGGTACTGTGGAAGGTACAAACTTCTTTCATTTACTTGTAAAGTAGAACTTTATATTCTAACTAAACAATTGTTAATGCATCATTACAGGGAGTGTCAAGTAAAAGACTGGACAAAGCATAAGAGTATTTGTGACAAACTAACAAAAAATCTAGAATGTGAACAAAAAGAACAATTTAAAAAAGTTTTTCAGTAAAAAGAAACATTTGCTTATTTTTCCAATTATTCCTTTAGTATTTTGTTTTCTGTTCTTACCAAAACAAGTAGAGAACTATATATGTATTTAATATAATTACTCATAAATGAGTTTCAGTTGTGTTACTCAAGTACAATGTAAAAACGTAAAAATATTTAAGGATTAAATCAATTATACGTACGAATTTATATCCAATATTTTATTAAAAGATCTTAATGTACAGAACTTTGTTTGACGTAGTCCATTACAGCATCCTTTGCAGGAGTATCTTCCCCAAAGTCCTAAAAGTAAAATAATCACTTAATGCAAAAGATTGCTTTAAAATTCACATATTGAAAATAAGCTATTAAAATCAGTAAGGCATGAATTACAGCATGAGTAATTATTTGGGTTCTCTCAGTAGAGGGAGCCTAATGTTCATCATGTTTTACCATTGTGCTTATATTTCATAGCTTATTTTAAATATATAATTTATACCTTTATAACAACACAGGAGCACCCAACAACTTTTCGAGCTTTAGCAGCACTGTCAATTTTGCACAAACCAGCCCATTCACCTAGTTTCTTATTATTGTCTACCCTAATTAAGGGAATCTGATGTTCATTGCACAATGCTTGCACTAGCTTTTTATACATAGGTTCGTCACAGTTCTCAGCCAAAATACACAGCATAGCTTGTCTTCTAAAATTCAACAAACAAAGTGATATAAAGATTTGACAGTTTATATTATACTCGAAAATTTTATATTTTACATTTTATGAAAACATATAGAATCAATTTAAATGAATTGTTTTATAAATTTACTTGTCCAACGCTTTGGCAGCTTCGTGAAGACCATGCACAACACCATCGTGAATAAGAGCATTTTTAAGAACTTCTTGAAGGGCTGTGGTTACGTCCATTGAGCCTCCCGTTGCCATCGCGGAAGGGCCATCATTACTAAAATAGAAAGAATAATTGGGTTCTCTCTTTTATTTATTTGCAATAAATTCTTGACATACAGATTTAAGGTTATACGCCGACTATATTTACACATTTAAATTTAACAATTTTAACATCAGAATATCTACTACAACGAATATAAAAGATAATATACGTAATTTCAACTTTGTATTTTTTTAATGAAAAGATTTATTCGATGACATTAAGGCATTATTAACAATCATACAAAACAGACTTACGTTTCTACGTCTGACATTTTGTTTACGGACTGGGGAGCTGAAATAATCAAAAAATGTTAGTAATTCTCCTCTGAAGTTTACATTTTGAAACGTTTTTATGTAAAAATCATGACGATGGTATTACAATAAACTGATTTCTAGTGCATCGCTTCATAGCATGCTTCCATTTACCTTTTCTTACGAAGAAAGAGAAATGGCGTTTACTTAACACGCGTTACTTTGGTTAGGCTACACTAATTCTGATTGGTTGAGGAAATGATGAAAGTGACATCTATGAAAATCTTCCAAGAATTTGCAGCTATCGGTAAAAAGGATATCTTACATCTCGCCTATGATATAGATCAACTTTTTCTTTTATAAAGTGATATGTTGAAAAATAGTAGATCAATAGATCAAAGTGATCGTTGAAAAATAGAACAGCAAATATATGTATTAAAAATTAGTAATTGAAAAGAAATAAAAAGTACCATAGAATTGAAAACATAAATTTGTAAAACATTAAAATACGTTAAAACAAATGAACGAACCACTATAATATCTTTCTTATAGAACTTTATTTTTTCCAAAGGACTTGTTGAGCGTCTTAATAGTTATTAAATAAAAAACGATAGCTTACAAACTGTACATCGCGACATTAAACCAAAGGTATAAATACAAGTTCTACCTAAGAATGCTTGTGAAGACAAAACTATTGCTTCAATTACGTCTACCTAATGTCCTATTCCTATATTTACATGTACAACAATTTTCTTCTTACAGTTAGGTATACAATTATTCCTTAACTTATCTACTGTACTTATTATCTATTTAACATTACAGTATATATTACATTTAACATCGTAATTACACCTTTCCAGATACATCTACCGTCTGATAAAAAAATTCCCACATATCCTCTACCTTATCATTTCCTTGATTCCGTTAAACGATGAAATCTGAGTAACTTTTTAATCATCATTTTCACCAACGATTGACCACCAACAAAGACTAAATTCTCGTAACGCGATAGTCGAAAATTACACACGAAACGAATTTTTCCGCCTTGTTGAAACGTTAAAAATGAAAAACGACGAATTCTTTGTGTTACGTTGGCGGAGAATATCTGTGATAGGGCCAACAGTAATGCGGTGGTGGCGGTGGCGGCGGTGCAGGTGGCGGTGGCGGTGGTGCCGTTACCGACGGATGTTGCGAACCTGACGGTCCTGTTGGATACAAGTGATGAGAGTGATGAGGGTGGCAATTTGCTGCCGTACCTCGGGACGACGGAGACGTCTCCAATGTGACACCAGCTTGAGCTTGACAGGCCATCATCAACCCATGGAAATCGAACTTGTACGCGTACCTTTTTCCATGCACCTTCGTCATAATATTTTTGTCGTAGTAATATCTGCAAAGTGAATTTATGTTTTCAAACATCATTTACGATCGTTAACGAAAGAGTGATACGTTTTACAGTATTGATAAATTTACGGCAAACGTTCGTTCTTTATTACGATTTTCTACACAGGGTGGGCCACGTAAAACAGACCACCTAACCATCTTCTCTACATGGTAGCTACGATGGTACGAGAAAATGGCTTCAAAGGTTGAAAGAAGATTCTTTCTGACGGAAGAAATGGCAAAGAATGAAAGGAATTTTCACAAGGAGTACAAGCTCATTTTAAGGTTATGTTATTACGCATGTTTAAATGCACATCAATATCTGCTACAACTTACATTCGTGCAAAAAAAAAAACCATAAGCGATCTTGAGAAAGAAAGGAACAGAAAAAAATTTGTCTTTGTACCGTTACAGTGATTTTTTCGTAGCCCACCTTATTTACAAATTTCGTTGTAAACGCAGCTTTATTTAGAACAAGATGATTTCTCTGTAACTTCTCCTTTTGAAAGCATATATTACTCAATCTATACATGATTACTTTACAGAACACCCTGTACATATTATTTACCTGAGTGCACGGGACAGTTTGTCGTAGTTCATGTTCGGCTTGCTCTTTCGTTCGCCCCATCTCCGCGCTACTTCGTCCGGATCGGTAAGCTTGAACTCCCCGTTCGAGCCCTCCCACGCGATGCAGGACGAGTTGGACGAATCGGA